TATTTCTAGAAATACGTGGCGTGATACTAGTCACGTGACCTCGCTGACGCAACAACGCATTTATTTTTGGTCAATATATGCAGGTTTTAAGGATTTTAGAAAATGAGCATCTTTGATTATAAGACATCAATACTGACATTGTCCATTTTTCAAGCTCCGAACATTATTATTATTAAAGAATAAGCAAGTGTGCATGTTATTATGTAAAACTACAGTTAAATGAGTGGACAGTTCCTCGACAGGGTTTTTGTAACACTGCGTAAAGTTTAAAATGAAACTAACTCTTTAAACTTGGCTTCGGAGATCAACAGCACGTGTTTCGAATTTGCAAATTTAAACAGAAGGTTGAGTACGTTATATTAAAACGATTTTGAATATACAAATAAGCGAGTCATGTAACAATTAAAGTCGACATAAAGTCGCGGTGAAACATCGTTGTATCAGAATTAAATTTTGACATTGTTTGGCGCTACGTAGCTAGTATGATGCCACCAAAAATTGGTCGCTTTTGGGAAAGGTAACCAACATCCCTTTCGGACACAAAATATTAATACATTCAGTTAATAAAAATTGTTCAAACCGGAGGTGTAGAATTTCCAAGACGGAGATACCCTCTTGCACTGAATTGCGTCGGAAAACAAAGGAATTTGGGACACCAGTGACATCTAGAAATACTTTCAGCAACTCGTACCATAGCCGTGGAAAGTGTGAGTCTTATAAAAGATGATTTCACGAACATATAAATCAGTGGCAAAAGCCACCCACGTAACCCAGGTAATAGTACACAGCATAATCAAGGAGGATCTCTGTTTGAAAACGATACCAACACTTGAACAAGGTATGGATTCACCAAGATAAAGTTTCACCATACCTCCCGTATAATCATTGCATTCCCAAGCAGCTGGAAAATGAAACAGGTATTCATACTAGCATAAAATAGTCCCGCGTTCCTCTGTGGGCTCTAAAGGCTCTCTCACTATTTACAGATGCCCCAATGTTCCTATTAAGCACTTTCATTATCCACAATTACTTTTATAGCTACCTCAAGGAGGATCCGTATCCGAAAACAGATGTAGTCAGGACACTAACTGGTTACCTGAACACACGTGTCACGTTTGGTCCTGCTAGTTTGTGAGTGTGGATATAAACAATTTTTAAACGTAGCACCCCCAGAAACTCAAGGAGGAGCAGGAACACAGACTTCGATGCCAAATTCAGGTTCATCATACTCTTAGACCAGCATAATGCTTAGGTGACCCTTTGGGCATGTTTTAGCTCCCTTTGTTAAGGGGGTCATAACATATAAATATGGACTACACCAAGTCCACCTGCTAAGTTTGGTCCTGCCAGCTCCAGAATTGAGGGAGAAGTTAATGGATAAAGAAATTCCAAAACACACAGCTGAATTAATATAAGAATCCATACAAAAACATATTGGTAATTAATTACCCTTCTCCAAGTGAATCCTATGAACTTGTTTCAATCCTAATCAGTTCAAACTTAAAGATACTCCACTGCATTGTTTTTCTTTTCACGTGAAAAGTCATAATATTAGATATACATACTGTATCAAATGTATAGGCTTATCAATTGCTGACATTTTAAATAAATATATTACAAAATGTTCAAGATAAACTGGGCTTCTAATCACTTGCTTGGAGTATCTCTACGCCACTAAAGAGGAAAAATAGTTATACTACATAAGCCATTCATTCATCACAGAGCTTGGAAAAAGGACAAAATATACAAGTATTAATGTAATAGCTATAACTCCTGGGATCGTATTATCCATTAATCTCTGTAGACAGTAAATTTAATTCTTACCATTAGATTGTGAATTCTACTGTCATTACTACTGAAGTAATATTGTAATTTGAATATTACTATTGACTTAGTCTTTACTATTTTATCACTTTAATACTGTTGTAATAATGCAACTGTCCATATATTTTTTCTAAGTATATCCACAGTCAAGTGTTTTATAACTTCATAACACATAGATATTAACCTTTTCATTTCAACTGTAACTATGCTGATTTGTGATGAATATTGCTTCTAGAATCTTAATCTAGATTATTTTATTTATAACACTGAAAATATTTATATCATAAACTATTCCTTCAAAGTGTTCTGAGAACTCTTTATCCACACCATTTTTAAAAGTAAAAATAACATATTTGTATTGTTATCTTGAATAGTCAAACATGCACTGGAGCTTTTAAACAATGTTATAGCAGAAAAAATCACAAGTCATAAAAAGTTTTTAAATTAAAGTCAATACAAAATTTTGTATTTTTATGTAATTTAAAGATATTTGTTTTGCTTATTCAAACAGCTTTTATTCTGGGCTATATGACTTTTGATAACATTAATATCGAGCTACTTACAATATTTAATCGTAGTAGCAGAGAAAATGCATCTAAGATTCAGAAATAAAGAACTTTTATACAGAACATAATAATTAAGACATTGAAATTGAAAAAAAAAACTGGTGTATGGTAATAAACTTCCTTCCTCTGCAGGGAATTTGTTGGGCTTTCATTCTCCACTCTCTACAAATGTTTTTTCACAGATAAGCGAGTACATTGTGGCTACAAAGTTGCTATGTTGTGTATATTTGGTTTAATTAATACATCTTTGTTAAACTATGGCTGAAGAGACATTTATCAATATTTGTGGTGAAAATGTAGTTCATAGAAAAAGACTTCTTTAACAAACTGTTTTTTTCCGTTATTTCAAAGAAAACATTTCTTTTACCTTTTACACTTAAGTTGTACTTTTGTAGCGTTTAACATTTATTTTTTAATAACTCTACTTTTTGTACAACGCTAGGCAATGTCCTAGTGGTTAACATAGTCAGACTGTAAAATATAAGGGTTTGCCATAAGAGTGACAATGAAATCCTGCTATTAGATCATAAACGAGTTGGTGGTGGTGGGTGATGTTGACTAGCTACCTTCCCTCTAGTCTGTCAGTTAAAAATTAGGGACAGCTATGAACAAGTAACTTATGTGTAGTTTTGAACAAAAATTGAAAATATTTCTATATTTTGCATACTGAATTAGGGTTGTTAGTATTAGTTTATGTATAATTTTGATCGGTTGGAATACTGCTTCCTAAAGGCTACATTTCTTCCTCAATTTCTTTTAGTAATGCTGTATTTCAGCCTCTGTATGTAGTTATTGCCTTAGGATATATCTAATACACATAATGGAGTTACACTGATTTCTGTATTACCCATCTTTCCTTTTAAATGTTTAATTTTATCAAGAAATCTTTTTTAAATGTTGAAAACCTAAGTGAAACTTTCAGTGTTAAATAAACTTTTTGGAGTGAGAACATACTGATTAGCCAAATAATCAAATATGATGGAACAGCACAACATTCAGAACTTTGCATTTCCTGACTTGTTGCCTGTGAAAGTACTAGTTAACTTAATCTTTCTTAACATGTGGCTTGTTTTCCATCAAAACAAAGGGGGTAATTATTATTGATATTAGCACATTTGTACTTCACTATAGGAGGTATCTATGTGTTACAAAGTATTACATTATAGTACTTCTTAACAGATAATACCAGAAGTAAAAATTGAAATTCAGTTCAATTTGTAATGGTACTTATGGTATGTTCACAGTTTATGTAATATGAAAAACTAAACACTTTCAACAAAAGGTATTCCATGTTTTATAAATGTCATTTGTCGCAAAACAGCAGCCAAAATAATTCACTTTTTTTGGACAAGCTTTTATTTACAGTCAGTTGTTAAATCTTAGTTGTGTTAGTATGAAAAAAAATTTTAAATCTGTCATATAATATATACTTAAAACATATATTTCCTGAATCTAACCAACTAACCATGGCCTAATCCTTACAAGTATTTTACTATTGCTAAGTAAACCATTTACAAAAAAAAAAAAATACATTTCACAAATAATGACTTTTAGAATTTCACTTGTTTAATATTTTGCACTAAATTACAATAAACCTAATTATTTAACATTTATGTTTTTGCTATAAAAAAAATACTTTTCATTGTATAAGAACAAAACTAAAATCTTGACCAAACCTCGGTGCAATAAACTTCACTTTATTTCTGTTAAAAACAGACCTAGTCCTAAATAAATGAATTTATAATTGATGTTTTAGTTCTTTTATTTATTAAATAATTACTCATAGTAAGAAAATTTTGCAAAATTACTATTACCTTTAACAATGCAGTGTAATGTCAAGAGTGTAAAAACAACAAAAATTCTTAAATAGGAGAATTTACTCAACTACCCCCTATGACTTCATTATTATTAGCATGAAATTCTGACAACACAGTTTTCTATAATGTACATTTTTCCAAAGAACAAAGAGTAGGATTTGAACTTACATTCCTAATTTCCAGTGGTTCTCAACCTTTTTTTTTTCTTCAGATTGAGTCTCAGTACTTATATTGCCTGTCCAAGGCCCATATTTTAAATCCAGCAGACTAACAAGAAATATGACGTTTACACAATGTTAAACTATCAGTATTTTCTTACCAGTTACTGAAAAACTAGTCCTTGTTTCACACTGAATAATCAATCCCAAAGAGGAATGTTACATTATTTACCAGTGAGCAATCACTGGTACCTTCCATTTTCTTTTGTTCTGTTACATCACATATATTTATTTTATTGAAATACCTTACAACTTTTATATATCTGTGATGTTACTTTGCTATTTCTTATGGTCTAGAACTTGGGAAACGTTGTTCTAACAAATTAAGTTTAGATGATACAGAATACAGGTCTGTATCCTATTTACTATTTTCATGCCTCACAAGAACTTTTTCCATACTCACTTCTTCAACAGAAAATATGGATAACTTTTTTAAATTTTTTGAAGAAAAATTAGGTGTCATACTTTACATTACATGCTAAAATTAAAACTAATCAAAAAGTTATTTTACTGTACTTAGTAGGTTGTTGAAAAATAGGCAGATCTAATTGTTCTAAACTTACAGCTTCCTGTTTTATTTCTTACTACTTAAATAAATGTATAAAGATTACATGTTTTACTAGACAGAAGTTCTTCAATAGCAGAGTATTAATAACAGGAGTTCACAGAACCACCTAGACATGTTGGTTCTGTGTGAAGCTTTACCACATTTCGTGTTAAACTACATATGTGAAGTGGCTGCACAACAAAATCGTGTAGATATAAATTATTATTTGGAAAAGAATAAAAGCTTTAAGATCATATTTATTAAAATTTTATCACTAAAAAAAGCTAAGAATGTAATAGTAGTTTTATCTGCTGAATACTGTGTGAGAAACAATTTATACATAAGTATTCATGTAATATAATTATCTCAAGTCAGCTAATATGTACATAACTGGTACAGTTAAGAGAAAAATTTTCATGTTAGTGCATCTGAAACAAAAAACATTCACAGCATTAACATCATTTCACTTTCATTTAATACGTAACTGGAAAAAAATTAGATTTAAAATTATTTCATATACTGACTAAATTCCAAAAAATTACATTACATTGTGAACATAAATATATATATATATAAATGGTAAATAAAAATGCAGTGTTTATATCAAAGATAAGACTTGCTGCAATATTTATATATGTATATACTAAAGCACTGTGCAAATTTTGTTTATCTTGTATGTACAAAAACTTCAACACACAAGTAAATTCTTCAGTCTGCATAATAAGCCTTGGATACACAGCAAGAAAATCGTCATACATATGCATGAGCTTCAGCTAATTTTCAAAGCTATCATTGCCTGCAATAATAAGATATAGAAGAAATAAGTATGATACGTCTACATATACAAACCCATAAAACTTCATCATTACAACAAGTTTTTTCTGTAGTTTTCAGGTTTATTTATGAAATTACAATAATATTTAAACTTCATCTTAGGCTTGCATATCCTTTTAATAAAACAAATTAAAAATGATGCTCATTGTAAAAAAAAACAACTAAGATTACTAAAGTTACAATTACTTGGAATGCACTGAGCACATAGACTAAAGTGGCACCACACTTAAGCTAAATATCTATTCTTAAAAAAAAACACGAAGAATTGAAACATTACATTAAATCTGATCACCCAAGATAGTATTATTCTTATAAAGTTCAGTTTGATGAAAGAAACCTCAGAAAAACTATATTTATATCAGGTGTGTTAACTTCAAATATCAATCTAATATTGATTATTCTAAATAAACTGAGTACAACTATGGCTTATCAAACTATGCCTAATCCAAGATATTCTGACATTGATCATTCTGAGAAAATACAAGGACCAGCTAGTTCTTACCTCGAGTGTGTTTAGCATAAAATAAGAAACAAAACTAGTAGAAAAAATACAGCCTTTCACGACGCAGGGGATTAAGAAGTCTCCATTCACGCTTAACTTGAACATACTGCAGACAAGAGCGAGCACAGATCACGATACCTGCAGCAAAACAAGTAGTAATTATAGCAACATCCTTAACTATATGCTATTGTTCATAACAACTTAATGACTGTTTTTTAAAACAAACTAAGAAACAATTCACATCATATGCTACATACACAAAGTTTTATTTTTCAACTACGTTCTTAACTGTGTAAAGTGTAAAGTATTTCTTTAATTTATATAAAATTCTTCATAAAATATTAAAATGATTTACTTTCTATAATTTCTCCTTACCAAAGGCCATTATGATCCACCACAGCCATTCATTTTCTGAACTCACCAAATCAGTAGAGTGCTATAACAAACATATAAAGCTTTATTTCACACCAAACTCTGCAATTAAGTGTGTGGAATGCACACATCATAAAGAAAGACAAAAGTTAGCTAAGCTTAACTGCTTCAGGAGTTAATACAAAATTTCTTAAAACAAGACTTAGTTCCGCTTGATCAGCAAAAGAACAAGACTCAAATCAACAGAACTATAAATTCTAACACAGTGAGTACAAACTGAGAGAAAAATGTATCTGACTTTCACAAATTATTTGCCATAAATCAATCAAAAAATTTAAACAAATATATCTACTTACTATAATATTTGGGGCTACTACAAAACTCATATCTTATAACTCTTGTTTTGGCTTTTTTTTTTAGTATCTAATGTTACTGTTATATTAACTTCTAGTTTTAAAAAGGGAACCTAATTATTATAACATGACGACTAAACAAATGAAGTATGAAAGTTAAATAAAACATTTAATGAAAATGAAATTGTACAATTTCCAACTGTATATTAGCTACTACAAAGAAAGAAGTTTAAGAAAGAGATAATGTAATATATTTGTGGGAGGTGCTTGGTTTTATATATTACTCATTACTTAAATTCAATAAGTAATTTAATCCTAATTTCTTATTTTTTTATTTGCAGTTTGAGCTTACTTTTAATTTTTAATGGTGGAGATTGGGAAGTTATGTTGCTTAATTGTCAAACCCTAATCATACAGATGGGTAGTATAACTGTTATATTACTGCAATATTCATTCTGATTTAGATTCCAATGGTATACATACAACCTATAAAAAAAGATTCTGTATTTTGTGACTTTCTAACTGTACAGTTACTACCACATCTAGCCATTGATGGTGAACAAATAATAACTTGATAACAGTGACAACAGAGGACAATACAAGTAGCCTATTACAGTTCTTTCCTGATTTTCCACATTGGCTTTGTAGAACATTCCAGTTTATTAAAGAAAATTGAAGTATCTGATTTATTTTATAATTTATAAACTGTCAAAAGAATTCTATGTCTTGGCATATATATTCTCAAGTTTTTGTATCTTCGCTGAATGATGGTTGTATATACTATACAATATCCACCAAATTACTGCCTTTATAGTTTTATCTTCAAGGTCTTTTTTAACAATGAAGTTATCCATATGACTAAGCTTCGTGCAGGTACCCAGGTTACCTTTAGGCCTACAACTTGTCACTGTTACTAATCAGGATTAGATTTATGCCTACCAAATAAATCTTTCAATATAACAAATACTCCACTTTTCGATTTCCCTAATAATTACACATCTTCAATGTTTTTGGTTTTTTTGCCCTTTGATGTGATGCCGTTTCAGCATATTTTTGCCTATCCCACTTATGTCCAATGTTGTTGTTTTTTCAGGCTTTGCAAATAGTTTTGTGCTTATCAGATTCATAGCAGTGAACTCACTGTATTGTTCATTATAGAGCCACACTTCTCCATTATTCCAGTGTATTAAGTCTTAGCCTACAATACAGAAAAGCCCTATTAATGTTTACTAACCCATACAAAGTTCACACAGTTATCATTCATTTGGCACTGTTTGTTTAATAATGACAGTTTGTCAAGTTACGAGGTCTTCAAGGTCAAATGTAGACCACCATTTTAAACTGACAGAGGTTACTGCTATACACACATGCATGCTACTAATTGAAATGTAGATTGTATGGCCATGAAATTAAATGAATGTAAAACTGTCAACATTAACTCCAGGAGTAAGCTGTCATAAGTTACACCACACAACATTACATGTGTCAACATTAATAACTCCAGGATGGTGTAACTTATGACAGCTTACTACAACATTATATGTATCAATATTAATAACTCCAGGAGTAAGCTGTCATAAGTTACACTACACAACATTACATGTGTCAACATTGATAACTCCAGGAGTAAGCTGTCATAAGTTACACTACACAACATTACATGTGTCAACATTGATAACTCCAGGAGTAAGCTGTCATAAGTTACACCATACAACATTATATGTATCAATATTAATAACTCCAGGAGTAAGCTGTCATAAGTTACACCACACAACATTACATGTGTCAAAATTAATAACTCC